CCGCAAACTCATCTTCGCTGGATGAGGCAGCGACAGAGTCGTCAGGAAGGGTCTCCAGAAGCGAAAGAGCTTGCTCCGCGTCCATGGCTTGCACAGCAGGGCAGACAGTCGTGAGGCCAGCTCAAGCAAAAGTCGAAATAATCTGCAGGCAATACCAAAGTCGCAGGGTACGCACTTTTCCCAAAGCGCATTTTTCAAGTCGCGATTTTCGCGATTTTTTATATTGCATCACACACAAAAATTGTCGGCACCCTCTGCGCGTACATCTTGGCTACCAGTAGGGAAAATCCCAGCTCTCTGCGGTGAACCAGTCCAGCGCTGTGCGCATAGAAGTCATCGACCGCGAGCGGTCGAAATTTGTACGTACAAACGGTAAAGGGTTAACACTGGCCCACAATGCTGCCCGGGGCCATATCGTAGTACTAGACTTAAGTTACTTTGTGTCCGGTATGGTTTGCACTGACAGTGACTTGTCAGGCCCACTGTTCATTCTTTCCATTCAAATTCCTTCATTAACGTCTTTGATTATCATCGTTGCTTCGGATGTGTAGAAAAGGTGTTCCTGTGAGTCTGCCGCGGGCTGCGAAGTATTGGCGTAGCTGATATGCTTGACGTGATCGTCGTTGTTTCCTTGCTGCTGCATGTACTACCAATCTTGATTTGTTTGTTACCAAATTGTATGATTTCAATAACAATAGGCGGTGCAGCTGGGCTTCAGTCTGTCGGTGTCACCGCCTGCTGCCAATACGACGACACGGGACATCACCAACGAATGCTCTAGCATACCCCCACTGCCACCGCGCAACCCAGACCGCTCACTTTCCCTGTCATCTACTGCATCTGCTGGCTCGGGGTCTGCGTTTGGCATGATTGAGGTAAGCACCGCGATGATGCCATGCAATTGAGTCTTGCTACTGAGACACGGAATGCGATTAAATGTTGCTACAGATTTACGCACTTCTCTTTTGCTTTTCATATACACGTGTACCTATCTGTTGTGTATGTACGGAGGCAGTATGCTTAGGTTCTGCGAAAGTGCTCAACACCTGATTCAGGCAGAGCAGCGTACATTATCGTTTTCTGATGATTGGTTCAGCCATGCAACTCTGAGTCACAACGGAATTTGCCAAGGTTTCATTATGTGCCTTTTATGTATCTGTTGTGATACACATCCGCCTGTCTTTTTGAGAAGATGCTGGAATTATGCTCCCTGTCTTGCTATTACTCGGCCACTAAATGTTAGTAATTGTGATAATTACGCTGGCGTTCTTGTCTGTCGTCCCTGTCACTGTTGTGTTGATGTTGGAAAGCCGGATGAGTGCCCCACGCCACCATCAGCAAGAATGGGCAGGTATGGATCTTGGGATGGTGGTTCCGAATCATCTGGTCTGAGTCCTATGGGTCTATCGAGTGGCACGCCGCCGATCAACCGCTGCGCCTCGCCTATCTTTCCGCCTCTTCAAAACCCGCCATCGTTGCCACCTCGCCCGGCGTCCCCTAGTCCACAGCGAGCTAATACTAATCTTCCGCCGGCTATTCCTCCAAGACCGGGTAAGCTGTGTTGTGTTAGCTGCTTGTCAATGCTTGGGCTAGGCTTCTGGCACAACTTTTTAAACTGTTAATAAGCCCTTACCGTGAGTGGCCTCTGAGCAGCACGCCAACATATCTCATGCAGCCCCTGCAGCCACTATGCACTCATCGTGCAACCTTGTGCTAAGCTAAGCATGATGCCGGAATGGATAGAACAGAGCAGTGCACGCATTTCCAAGGCCGTTGGAAGCAGTTTTTGATTCGTCCGGCCGTACCATCACAGTCTTTCATGGTGGCGACACATGACCTCAGCAATACATGTACCGTAGTTCCGCGCATATACGCCTATGGGCTAATATACGAAATAATGCATTTTCCGGGGAAAAAATTAGTAATAATGGTTCGTTTTTTAGCCCTGGGCCTATATTCGAATTTTGAAGGCAGCTGGCACGCGAAAAAGTACAAGTCCGTGCGCGGTTGTCCGCCTACCGTAGGTACCGGTACTGGTAATGTAGTCTGCACTGACATGCTGTACTATCGGTTCCGTAACGGTGTTTACCCAAACACCGTGGGTCTGTTTATTAGCCCATGGGCCTATAAACGGAGGTGGGCTTATATCCGGATATAGGCCCATGGGCTTATATGCGCGGAACTACGGTAAGCATGCGTTGGTGGCCATACAGTTGGTCGGGTCTTGACCAACTGATTTCACGTTTAAGGCAACACGTTTGAATGAACGTGCGCGGACACAGTGATGCGGGCAATGCCTGCCTGCATAGCACCTGCTCCTTCAGTAATCTACATAGACGTTCTTCTCATACAAGGCTGGTACATGCATGTGCGAGAATGTTGCCTCACTGCATTCTGTATTGCGATGCGTTTGTTTATGGCTTTAGACCTGTGTGCAACCGACTCGGTAAATGGCAGAGGGCCGCAAGGCATTGCCACACTGGCAACGTCTCCTCTTCGTGTAAGTTTGGAATGCTGCCATTTAAGTCACGGGTGGGGCATCAGATTTGCTGGGGTCTGGTATGTGCAGAAATCACACTTTTTTCAATAGGCTACAACATTTCTAAGTGTGTTTACTGTTTTCACTCTGATGGTGGGCCATGGCCGAAAATCTGGTGAACACATTTAGTGACGTATGCAGCAAAGAGACCGTGTTGAGTGTTTGAGTTGAGGGACCCTGGGGCTGTGTTGAGTGTTTGAGTTGAGGGACCCTGGGGCTCTACTTACCTGTCCAGATTACTCTAATTTCAGAAATTTTAGGTGCTCAATACTTTTGGTATGCCTGAGGGCAAACTGAGGCCAGGTTAATAATAATAATAATAATAATTTTTTTGAAAGGATTGGGAGAACTTCAAATTCAATGGATCAATTGGGGGAGTGAACTGCCTGAAAAGAGAAAAAAGCGCCAGACCCACCAGGACTCGAACCCGGGACCTTGCTTGTCATGAGCAATGCACTGAGCTATGGGACCGGGCTGAACCCAGAAGGCGCTGACAAGATTTTCACTTCAAAGGCAGCTCACAACACGTGCCACACATACTGATGGCACTTGGGTCTTTCTCCCTCCCCCAGGGGACCGTGGTTGGTCCCCTGGGGGAGGGAGAAAGACCCAAGTGCCATCAGTATGTGTGGCACGTGTTGCGAGCTGCCTTTGAAGTGAAAATCTTGTCAGTGCCTTCTGGTAGTTCAGCCCGGTCCCATAGCTCAGTGCTTAGAGCATTGCTCATGACAAGCAAGGTCCCGGGTTCAAGTCCTGGTGGGTCTGGCGCTTTTTCTCTTTTCAGGCAGTTCACTTCCCCAATTGATCCTTTGAATAATTTTTTTCTTCAAACTTTTCCCGTTTGTCTCTTTCCCTCAAACAATAATAATAATCAACGCAATAAATAGAGTAAGCTGCGCACTCAGTACAAACACCATTAGCAAAACTTGTCTTCATGTAAATAACTAAGCTTGTTCCTAAACGTTTTCGTCGCCATCTCATCAGAGGATTACTGGCAAATCAAAACTAGCTCTAAACTATACGCACAATGCAAGTAATAATTTAGACCCTAACTAGCGCGAGAAAATGAGTAATAATAATAATAATAATAATAATAATAATAATTCAAAGTATCAGTCGGGGAAGTGAACTGCCTGAAAAGAGAAAAAAAACGCCAGACCCACCAGGACTCGAACCTGGGACCCTGCTTGTCATGAGCAATGCTCTAACCACTGAGCTATGGGACCAGGCTGAACCTAGAAGGCGCCGACAAGTTTTCCACTCCAAAGGCAGCTCACAACTTTTTTCTCTTTTCAGGCAGTTCACTTCCCCGACTGATACTTTGAATTTGAAGTTCTCCCAATCCTTTCCAAATTAAATCACTTTCTTTCACCTCTGGTAGTTTCCAGAAACTGACCGTGGTTGGTCCCCTGGGGGAGGGAAAAAGACCCAAGTGCCATCAGTATGTGTGGCACGTGTTGTGAGCTGCCTTTGGAGTGTAAAACTTGTCGGCGCCTTCTAGGTTCAGCCTGGTCCCATAGCTCAGTGGTTAGAGCATTGCTCATGACAAGCAGGGTCCCAGGTTCGAGTCCTGGTGGGTCTGGCGTTTTTTTTCTCTTTTCAGGCAGTTCACTTCCCCGACTGATACTTTGAATTTGAAGTTCTCCCAATCCTTTCCAAATAATAATAATAATAATAATAATTCTCCCTCCCCCAGGGGACCGTGGTTGGTCCCCTGGGGGAGGGAGAAAGACCCAGGTGTGCCCTGTATCGCACCTGTGGTACATGGACGACATGAAGCTCTTCGCCCGAAACGACAATAATCTGCTCTCCATGACCAATGTTGTGGAGTCAATGGGCGACTGCATTGGTATGCATTTCAACCCTTCAAAGTCTAGCTGGCTCACTTTGAAACGGGGGAGAGCCCAGAGCGATCAGCAGTCTGCTCTCCAGACACTCCAGGGTCACGCTATTGCTAAGCTGCAGGCGGAGGAGTCCTACAGGTACCTTGGTGTCCCGGAATCAGCACATTTTCACGCCACCAAATTGAAGACCACGGCAAAGTCTGAGTTCGGCCGCCGCCTTCAATTGATATGCTCGTCTCAATTGAACGCCAGGAACTTGGTCAAAGCCATCAACACCTTTGCCATTCCAGTCATCCTCTACTCCCTGTGCATCGTTGAGTGGACAAAGGCAGAGATAGAGGAACTCGACCGACAGACCCGCCAAGCACTGTTTAAAGAACACGCCCGCCACCCCAAGGACTCTGCCGCCAGGGTCCACCTGCCTCGTGACATGGGTGGTCGAGGAATTCTATCATTCCGGGACCTCCTGGATAGAACCCGTGTCCGGGTGGCGCGGTACCTACAAGCCCACCTAAACGTGCCACTGTTGGCTGCTGTTAAGCGCCATCACGACAATGATGTGGCACCGTCAAAATCAGTTACACGTCAAGCCTCCAGACTTCTGGGTGAACTTGACCTACCCGACTTGGAGACTGCCACAAAAGTCATTGTCAAGAAGGCCGTTGCTCTCCGGTGCCTGGCCGTTATCCAAGGTAAGCCTCTCCATGGCCAGTTCTGGAGACGAGCTTCTGATGCTGGCTTGGACCTGGGCTTGAGTTTTCGCTGGCTGAAATCGCCAACGATCAGGCCTGCGACAGAGGGACTCTTGCTGGCTGTACAGGATCAGGCCATTGCGACCAGGCACTATCAGGTCACGGTCATTGGACGGGGAGACGTTGTGGACATTTGTCGAGTTTGCGGCACTCGCGGAGAAACAGTTATCACATTGTGGCCTGTTGCCCAGCCCTAGCCAAAACACTGTATATCGAACGGCATGACACGCTCGTCAAGTTGGTGCATTGGGCACTATGCAAGCGGCATGGTCTGGGTCGGCCGGGAAGCAACCCGCTGAAGCATCATCTTGTGCCTGTCACCGAGAATCTTGACATGAAGCTCCTGTGGGAGTTCAATATCCCAACGGATACGCAAGTGCGCCACAACCGTCCAGACCTGGTGTTGCGGTCCAGCACACAGGTGCTGCTGATGGATGTCAGTGTTCCATTGGACCAGAATGTTCCCACAAAAATCGCCGAAAAAATAACAAAGTACGCTCCCCTCTGCCAAGAGCTGCGGCGCATCTGGCATGTGGATGATGTCCGCGTTGTGCCCCTGGTTGTTGGGGCGCTTGGTGGACTGACTGGTGTGTCCCTGTCACACTTTGTGTTGGCATTGGCAGGCACTCTGCGCATTGAAAGGGCTCAGCAATGTGCTATCCTGGGCACGCTGAACATTGTCAAGTCCGTTCTTGGCATTCGGCTCCTCATGTTACGGGTAGAGCTAGTCCGTATAAACCTCCATTACCAACCACACAACAAGCCGACCTGTTTGGGAGCTATTACGCGTTGTATTTCCAGGAGATAGGCAACAATTGCCGTATGCAATATGCAATATTCTGGTCCAATGCCAGAGCTAGTATTGCAAGCACCGCTGTGCGTTAGTATGGCCAATGCCGACACTAACTGGGGCAACAATTGCCCGGCGAGAATTCAGACGTGTCAATACACGAGCATGCAGTAGGGATACACTTGTGGGCGAATGTAGGCGCACTTGGCTCAATGCCGGCCTGCCCACGATCCCTACTGTTGAATTCAGATGTGTCAATACACGAGCATGCAGTAGGGATGCACTTGTGGGCGAATGTAGGCGCACTTGGCTCAATGCCGGCCTGACCCACGATCCCTACTGTTGAATTCAGATGTGTCAATACACGAGCATGCAGTAGGGATGCACTTGTGGGCGAATGTAGGCGCTTGGCTCAATGCCGGCCTGACCCACGATCCCTACTGTTCTCCCTTACGGGATGGCTTAAAGGATGCACTTGTGAGCGAATATAGGCGCACTTGGCTCAATGCCGGCCTGACTCACGATCCTTACTGTTCTCCCTTTCGGGATGGTTTCGAATGGAGTGCTAGTGAGAGATGATGGGGTGGGTGGTGGTGATCAGAAACTGGCCGCGGTAGTCAAACAATTTGACCGTCAGCACAGCAAAGCGAAGAGCAAGAAACAACAGCATGGCGAATTGGAGTAATGCGCATGCTCCGCACAGTCCCGTGCGGAAACGCGGGAATTCGGAGTGCGTGCATGTTATGCATGTACAAGTGTTGCTTATGGCAAGGATGTTGGTGTGTTGCTAACTCCACTTACCGTGCCATGCACGGAAACTTATATTTACCAACCACACAACAAGCCGACCTGTTTGGGAGCTATTACGCGTTGTATTTCCAGGAGATAGGCAACAATTGCCGTATGCAATATGCAATATTCTGGTCCAATGCCAGAGCTAGTATTGCAAGCACCGCTGTGCGTTAGTATGGCCAATGCCGACACTAACTGGGGCAACAATTGCCCGGCGAGAATTCAGACGTGTCAATACACGAGCATGCAGTAGGGATACACTTGTGGGCGAATGTAGGCGCACTTGGCTCAATGCCGGCCTGCCCACGATCCCTACTGTTGAATTCAGATGTGTCAATACACGAGCATGCAGTAGGGATGCACTTGTGGGCGAATGTAGGCGCACTTGGCTCAATGCCGGCCTGACCCACGATCCCTACTGTTGAATTCAGATGTGTCAATACACGAGCATGCAGTAGGGATGCACTTGTGGGCGAATGTAGGCGCACTTGGCTCAATGCCGGCCTGACCCACGATCCCTACTGTTGAATTCAGATGTGTCAATACACGAGCATGCAGTAGGGATGCACTTGTGGGCGAATGTAGGCGCACTTGGCTCAATGCCGGCCTGACCCACGATCCCTACTGTTCTCCCTTACGGGATGGCTTAAAGGATGCACTTGTGAGCGAATATAGGCGCACTTGGCTCAATGCCGGCCTGACTCGCGATCCTTACTGTTCTCCCAAAAATACAACATGACCCAAACAGGATTTATCGGCATTACTATTTACAGCAATAGATGC